TCTCCAGGCTATCAGTTACTCTGCTGTTATGTAAAATGTTGATAAAAACTAAAGTGTACGGACAATAGTAATTGTATAGCTTTGGCGATAAATTAAAGTTCACTAAGAATATTCTATTCTATGCTCTCATAGGGTTACGACTTTTCCTGTATAATATTATACTCGTACAAGTTGGGTGCTAGATTAAGAGTTCGGAGCTTTAGTCACTGATATTACTGTTTTGATATTGTCTTTTATTGCATTCATTCTATTATCTGTCGGATATACAATACGTACTGTAGATGAATCTTCTATGTCTAGTCATTAACTATGATAAGGTCCAATAGTTTGCATTATTTAATTTAGTGATGGTGTAACGGGCTAATTTCTTGGCCGTAATAAAGTAAACACATGATAGATGGACTAACTAATGTTTTAACGACTGTGAAGATTATTTAATTCAAATTTAATAGTAATAGACATAACTAAAATAACAGTAGATTGGAATTCTAATTTCAGATGAAGAATAATTATTAATTATTAATTATTAATTATTAATTAATCGTAAGAATCATTAATCTAGCGACGATTATATTGTATCTTATTATTATATTAGCAACCATTGCATCATAATAGGCAAATTATGGTGGTGGAAAATCTCTTTGTCAGATTTAATTATAGGTAGATTTACATAATTTGGTATAAATTACTATAGCAAAATATCGCAATGATTGCACCATCAAAGTACCGTACTAGATACGAAAGGAAATGAAATATTTCATTGAAAAAGTTATTGGATATAAGTTGCACACTAGACCAATGTCATTCAGGCCACTAAAGTAATTCAATAGGCTTAATTATTACAAGCTAGATAAAACAGCATATTTTTCGATTGTGATAATATCCTTACTGTTAGTGGGATGTCTTAGGAGTAGTACACCGTACTGTACCTTATCGCTATTTTAATTTGACTTAGTTAGTTGACATAAGTATTGCAGTCAAAGCTAGCACAATGATCATATTGACCAAATGACTAGATTAATTTTATTACAGTTTTGTGTATATCTTGGGTACGAGGTTTTTTGCCTTCAATAATCCATTTGAATGTATCTTTTATTATAGTACTTGTATGTTAAAATATATCGCGTTATGAAAAATAATTTATACTCAACAATTTATTATTTCAAGTATATAATGAAAATACTTTGTCGTCTGATAGTAAACGGTTATAGATATTTATGCAGTACATAATTACAGTCTATATACAGTATCATTTAGTGTAATAGTAAATTAATTGTATTTTACATATTTTTTGACAAATAGCAGATAATTTTGAAGCCTACGTATACGTATATGACCTTTAGTATTCGATAATCAATCACTCTATCGCAATAGTAAGTAGTTGTGGGTTAATGTTCCAGAATACTTGTCTTTTGGTACAATTAATTATAATATTTACATGGTATTGGGCTACGTTGTATACGGGTATACGAATATACTGTAGCTTAGGAAAAGATTTATTCAATTTTTAATATATATTCGGCACATGTTTGAGCTCTCTATACATGATTTCGGTGATAAAATGACAACGGTATATCACGATAGCCTATAATTTTGAGTTTAATCCGCATCTTTATGCTCTATGTCATGAGGATATCTGAAAGTAAGCCCTAATTCTACGTATGTAGGAGTATATATGTACAATTATGGTCTTACTGTCTTTGATTTCGATAATACGTTGCATTTTTAGTTGGAAAGTAGTTAATTTCTGCTAACGAGCATAATACTTATAATCTAATTTCATGCACTCTTTTGTATATTGATTTATTTGTCACGGATACATTTCTCTCTTCTTTTGTACTGTAGTTGGTGCTCTCGGAAATGATTCATATTTTAGATGCGCAGATATATATAATGTAGACGACTTTAATACCAAGAGTGATACGACGTAATAGGAAATGAAGTCATGTTAGTGGATTTATTTTTAAAAAATGAGTCATAGGAATAAGAAAGAGGCAACAGTCGCATTCTACGAGGATCTAACGATTTTATTCTTTTAAACCAAGTAGACAATTTAATATGGAAGGATTAAGGATATGTGTTAAGAAATACAAAGGTTGTTGCCTAGTCTGTTAATAGTATTATCGTATGCGTAACCTTCGTGAAAGTAAGAAAGGATTAATTAGATATTACCCAAGTCAAAACTTTATAGGGGATCATAATTATCGTGAGAGTGAATGATTCACATGTGAGTCATTACTGTACAATTGTTTATTGGAATCTTTCTAAGGTGATGATTTTAATCTCAATCACTAAGAATTACAATGCGACTGTACAGTAGATAAAATAAATATGAACGATGTCGATAGGACGATACGTTCTTTTATTTAGGCTTGTAATAAAGTCATTTGTTAGCTCCGAAAGATTGGATTTTGAATTGTTCTTTTATAGCTTGAAGAACTTTTAGCTTTTGAATTCGTATTCTACCCAGTTGTCACATAGTAATCGTGCCAATATGTCTGTTCGATCCTAAAGGTGGAACTGATTGGATCCAATTTATTCATCATGAAAGATATTCTACTGCACGCATACCTACAGTTTAATCGATTTAATTTGATGACATGTACTGTATGTGTATAACTATAATTGTATTTGAGAAGTTACCACACACTCGTATTTCCAGTTTTATACTTAAAACTAGCCGAACCAGTACACAAATATAGAAGTATAACAATTTATGCACCATCTTCATTTCATATTGTAGTCAGTCCAAGTTTTACAATATGCAGTAACGTATATTCTACGACGATATAAATCGCCACATAATTGATACAAGCTGTAACTGAATTCTTCTGGTAAGAATGCTTTGTTGATATTACTTTAGTCATTGATTTATGAGAGTGGGCGGTTAGGGTTAGGCACCAACAGGTAAAAAAAGTTAAGGTTTCTGTAACTTATGCATCGTACCGACTGAGAAGGCCAGTTAATAAACTAAATTAATGTCCCGTATCTAATGAATTAGTTTTTATTTAATTTACTGTAAATAGATGTAATCGTAGACATCATTCTATATTCGTATAACAAAATCTGTTCTACTAACTCTACTCAGCGTATAGATCACCTAGAAAATTTTATACGGTAATAATCGACTTTATTACTGATTCTTTAACGATTGAAATACGATAGAGATACTATATAATGGTATAAAAAGTTCTACGGATAAGAAAAAACTTCTTACAACAGTAGATCTTAGAAAAGAATGAATAAGAACAATCACAACAGCAAAACGTAGCTACTTAAAATAAGCTACTTAACTTATTTACAACATAAAGGTTACGAAACAAGTTCACTCATATGCTTAAATTATCATAAACATTACTCATAGGAGCGTATACCTAATACTGTCAACAGCCTTTATTTGGTGTTATTTTTAAGTTATATCTAATAATTTACTTCTACATAACACGTTGATAACAATAAGTTGTACTGTATAACAGTTTCACTATAATTCGTGATGACTAACCTATTTCCGTGTTTATTTAGACAGGACCAACTGAGAGTTGGCGTATGGCGCAGTTTTCGAGATAGAAAGAAGAATCCTTTGAATCGTTTGATGGATGTTTATCAATTCCCTTTATACACGTATAGGTCTTTTTGGCTATTAATATCTGTTCTAATAGTCACGCATCTATAATTACTAATAAAAAGTCAAATGCATCAGAGAGAAATGTTGGCAATAGCCTTGCTTTGCTTTCTGCTTCGTTTAGTCATATTCCATCGAATAGTGATCATTAATTCACTGATTGATGCGCAGCTTGGTGTTCTACTATTGTCAACAGTAGTGATTTTAGTCATTTGATTTCCATGTCGTATTCAATTTTGGGCTACGTATTATATGAGAATATAACATATATATATTGGCATACATGGCCGATAACATATATATTATTATACGTTTCAATTTTCAATATTTTATTGAGTATGAGGCGGAGTCTAGCGGACAATTTCAGATTAAATTCTTTCTTTTATTTCTAAATAGAAAAAAGTGGTAGTGGCGCACTTTCGATTTAATTTTACATCAAATTTATTTAGAATATACGGGTATAGTAATGGTTAGAAAAAGTGGACTATAAAACTTCATCATTTTTAAAATCAGTGACCTACAGTACCTGCGATTTCGTTTACTGCATTATTAGCAAATAAAATTGTGAAATTTGATAACTTCTGAATCAATACTATTATTGCTATAATAGTATTCGATTCTGGTTGAAATTTATGCTCTGTGCTGCGTTCATATCATGAAACAGGCTGTACTGTACTACATATACCTTTGGCAAGAACAGAAATTACTGTTGATGCTCAGGCGTTGGACTTTGCTTCAACGCTTAACAATAATACAATGTGATCAATACTACACTCAATCAATTTCAATTTTATGCTAACAAATATAGCAGCAGATGGTGATGCCAATGGTAAAATTTCGATTTTAGTCAATTGCTGGAGAAAAAATAATGCCTTGCCCTGATCTTCTTTCTATACTAAGTTATGAATGACATAAGGGCTCTCTTTTTGTCAACATCGTGACTCTAGCATGTCCCATGTTCCGTGTCTGTCATTGTTTTTCAATAGTATTTACAAAAGGCATACTACTAGAATAGAAGTTATTTTTCTAGTAATTTATCGTTACAAATTAACAATAAAATCGGCTAGTGTAACTCGATTCTGCAAAAATAATTTCTTTTTCCTCTTCCTACGTATTGTAAATATACGCCCGAGGTTTGCACAACAGTCACGTTCAGTACAGTAGTAACCATATGATAATAACGCACTCTTGAAAGCGGACAGTCTAGTCCATTACGCCAACTGTCTACTGTACTGGTAGTCTAGTGCTATGTACTACAAAGAGGAGCAACTTTCAGGCTTTAAATAGTCGCTGAGTATCAGCATCCTGGATTATTATAACGTCCGCGTACAAATAGAACTACGTTTACAAGATGGCAGCTAGAATGAGTAGTCGATTGATGCGATCAGTTTTAGTTGGTGAAAAAGGATCATTAACTATCGTTAATGATACTCCATTACCATCACTTAAAACTGGCCAAATCTTAATTAAGGTAAGATATCAAGTTTTTCGATACTGATATGAAATGATCTGAGACAAGGTAAGCATACGATGTCATGTGTTGTCTTGTCATGCAATCTCCTTGGTTATGGCCAATTTACGCTAGGTAGACGAAGTTCAATATGATATCGATCATGGTTCAACAAGATATTGATCATATCATTGACAGTATGAAGATCAAATTATTATCATAGCATTATTATATCCCTCTTGAAATAGACTCGTAGTAATGACGATCTCCCTATAGGATACGGCTGAGGCAGTAGTTTGAAAGAGTGTCGAAATTTGGAACTAAAAAGGAATCACATTTCATCATCAGTCACCCTCATACTGTCTACTGGACTTTTTTTTGCATAGGTTGCAGCTTGTGGTGTCAATCGGATGGATTTATTGCAAAGATATAATAAGTATCCTGTTCCCGTTGGAGAGAGTGAAATCTTAGGTGTTGAAGGTAAAAATAACGTAAAATTGAACATTAAAATTGAGATAGATTGATTGAGAATGAGTTAATGTTGCATGCAAAGTCGCTGCATGATTCATTTCTGTAGCACAAAGGTGACGAAAAGATAAATTCCTCATTGACTTACTCCATTGATTTGCTTATTTAGATTAAGTTTTTACGGAGCTTGTTTGTCATTTTTTCCCCACTTGTACTATAATATGGCATCTCCAGTAAGATATCGTGATACTTAGATAACATATAAACCATCACTGCACTGAAAGGCGAGTAGGTTGCGTGACAACCCAACGGCTTCCGTGTTGTTAGATAGGGGGTGTTATATTGTGCTGACTTCATCTTCTGTTTTATAGCTTGGCGATGTTAATTTTTTTCTTTTTCTGCTGCTAGTTAACTAATTCTAGGCCTTAGTACGAGAATTATTTTTATGATACGTATCTTTTAGTTTGAAATATTGTTCATTGCAAACGCTTTGAAATGTACTTGATATTTTCAATACTAAAAAATTGAAATGAGGATATCTACGAATCCTTAAATAGTTATATATATATATATTGACAAGCAGTTTATTACAGCTAATTATAATTATGGCACACTTTTATGTCTGTAGTGGCCGGTACCATTGCTGAGATGGACGAGGAGGCTTTACATCATTCCAATTTCAAGGTTGGCGATCGCGTGTGTGCATTAGTTGGAGGAGGTGGATATGCAGGTGATCCAATTGCAACGCGATTATACTGTACTTGTCATTTATTTTGAGGAAATTCTTAATAGAATTAGAATTAATAACAGCACCTTTGTTATACTGTATACATCTACAGCGAACGGTTGTGTATTAGTACTTAGTATATGTATATACATCTTTATACGTATCATTTATTTTTTGATTAAATACTTAAATAGAGTTAGAATGAATAACAACATCTTTCCTATACTGCATGCGACTGATGCAAACGATTGTACAGTAGTACCTAGTATACGCGTACATCTTGCTATCTGTATGATATTCTACATTATTCAAGTTACAGTCTTCCTCATCGAAATTAGTGTTTGCATGCTTCTCATGAATTACAATTTCTATTTGCTACTACAAATCTTTTTAATTCTTCTTATTTCCTAAATTTCTATCATAGATTTTTGTGCGTCTCCTCATCAAACAGTGATGCCGATACCTAGATCCATGAGCTTTGTTGAAGCTTCCGCAATACGTTAGTAAAAAAATGCTAATATTTATAAATTCTTTCTTAGGTATTGTTGTCCTTCTTAAAATTAGATAGACAACAACTTTGTTATCTTAAAATTAGATTGATAGCATTCCCTCTTTATGTACTAACATAATTGTGTTTTCAACAGCTGAAGCTTTTTTAACTGCTTATGCTGCTATGTTCCTCAGTGCTAAATTAAAGAAAGATGAGTCTATACTTATTCATGCTGTAAGGCTAATATATTGTAACGTAAATTACAGTGTGTAATAACATAGATGTAAGCGTTATCATGTAGATTGTTTTTTCAAGTAGCAATTTAGGTGCCTAATTTCGCTTTTATCTACTTATCATTAGCTTTCAATTTATATATTGTAAAGTTATTAATAGAATGTAATAATAATATCGATACATGCAAATACGACGCCTGATATTATCTTGTTAATTAATAAAAATAAAATGCTTTTGTAGGGTGCCAGTGGTGTTGGCACTGCCGCCATACAACTCGCTAAAGAATTTGGTAACAAAGACATTTTCGTTACTGCAGGTAGAAATTAGTTCAATATTGTTCTAGTGAATTGTTAGGATTATCTTTTCTCGTGATATGAATATGGTAGTTATTTCGCTTAACTTTATACTGTATCCAATCAGATACCATAACTTTTTAGAGGATTAAATTATCTTTCTCGTACGGACGTAGGATAACTTTTCTCGTAATATTACTTAGGCTAAAGCATAAGAATATATTTTTATTTATATAGGATCCGAGAAAAAGCTAGCAATGTGCCGAGAACTTGGTGCAACTACATTAATTAATTATAAAACACATGACTTTGCCGAAGTTGTTAGACATACTACTAATAAAAGGGGTTTGTATTGCTTCGGAAATTATTAAACGTCAGATCATTAAGTCTAAAAATATTTAGGAGCATCCGTTACTCACATTTTGTAGCCTGTTTGAAATGTGTAACATATAAAAGTATTTAACATCAAAATTTTATGCCCACAACATTCTCTTCATACTCATTTAAGGTGTTGATGTAGTCGTTGATTTTATTGGCGCTTCTTACTGGGAAAGGAATATTAAATCCTTAGCTTTGGATGGCCGTTTAGTTCTACTAGGCTTGGTATTGCTATTGTTTACATATAGTTGTGGCATATTTTATAACTGTGATATCAAATTAAGTTAACAGTTACACGAACTGACACTTATTGGTGTTTCTTTTTTGCAAAGCTTGGAAATACTGCAACTGATGGCATCCACTGTAATACTGGCTTAATATTGGCCAAACGATTAACAATTATTGGATCAACTCTAAGGAATCGAGATATAAATTACAAAAGCAATCTTATTCTTGATGTATGTGTATTCCAACTACTCTACTTACATTGATTATGGTAGATATACGTGTAATGACTGTATTGAACCAGATATTTAAGTTTTCATTTCAAATTTTTTGACAGTTTACACGTAGTACAGTGGATGGCTTTCAAAAAGGCAGATTAAAGCCAGTTCTAGATAGCACTTATACAATTGAAGAGGTGGAAGCTGCTCATGACCGGATGCTGCGAAATCTAAACAGTGGAAAAATTGTACTTACTATGTAGCATAGATTACTTCATGAAAATTTATGGTTGAGAGTAGAAATTAAAGTAGAGCATATTCTCTATTTCTGTTGTTGAAGATGTATATATGCAGTAAAAGCTTTAACTAATATCTTGTTACAGTATATTCATTACTATAATTGAAGACATACATATTTTTGCATTGGACTCAGAACTTTTAAGTATTATATAGTCTGCATAATTATCGTAAGATTTGAAATGTAAAACATAAAGTAATTACAGCTAGAGTGATGAATAGTGATGTTGACGAGATATTCCCATAGACTCTATCAACCATTCCATATCTATGTAACTAGATATTTTAAGCGATCACCTGCTCAAATATCAATTTGAAATTTTTTCCTAATCGTGCATGATAGCGGATACGATGCATTCGTAGCACCTATATATAGGCTTACGTCAGTTTTAATGCTGTACACTGGATAGCTATCAAAAAGCTATTACTATCTGTAAAAGATGTACGATTATGTGTTGCTACCAATGATTAAAATAACAATTAATTTGAGTATTGTCATGATCATACTAACAAAATAAAATATGAAAATTTTGCTTTAGTATTTAATGTAGTAAGCTTATGCAAGGGTTATAAACTGAGTGTACTTTAACTGTAACGTATTTTGTCGTCGAACTTGAGCAAAGAATTTAAGTGATATACGATATACTGTATGTCTTAAGGCGTTAAATTGTAAAGTATTGTATGTTCAATTTCTAGTTATATGCTTCGTGAAAAAACTGACAATACAGTAGTTATTATATTGGTACCAATTGGACATACCGATATTCTAAATTTGCTGTCTCACAATTTGCTAAAATACCATACTTTTATTATAGTAGTTAGATTGAAATTTTGTAAGTAGGTCGTTTTTAATTTGTAAATGAATGAATGTAATAACATTAAACAGTACAGCATAGTAATTGGCTTACGATAATGTTGATTCTAATATCTTTAATTGCGAAATAATTATTTATCTGATGAGTGTGAATTAACGTCGATTATCTTAGTTTAGTAAGTATACATATTTACAATAGTAATAACAAGCTTGTTTCATTATGATTTTTCTCTTCGTGTTAACTGTCATTGGGAATTATTTCGATAAAATTTCACAGAGTACAAAACATGAACTAGTTCTATGATCTCTTTATCGTTATTTTCCTAGCATGACTAATAGCTGCAGTGATTATATCTTTAACATGACCATACCATAAAATTGTAACGATTTCGACCAATTATTAGTTTTCGCTAATGATTGAAATTAGAGATTAAAATCAACGTCAATTCAGTTAGGGAGCATCAAATCAGCATAGCTTGCGCTCGATATCTCTTATTCATATCAACATGTGTATTAAGCATATATTTATAGTATATAACATGCCCATATAGTGTATGTCTATATATCGGCAGTGTTTCAATATTTTATTATAAAACTAGATGAAAAATTCACTATTTCATTGATTGAAATATGTTTACTATTGAACTATGACCTATTTACCATGTCAATTCGCTTCACCAGTTACGGTGTGGTCTAAATTTTGGACATTGAAAATTTTTTAAGTTAATATTAATCCTTTCACTGTATGTAATCGTAACTCTTCAATCTTATGTAACAGATCTCCTTCAAGTATTTTTTGCTTGGTTTCTAACATTGTACGCATTGTAGCTAAGTTATCATGAGTTGCATCGAATCCTTCTCTACATTCTTGGCGAAACTTATCTATTAATGTGTTTTGCTCTTTTTTGAAATGTTGAACTTGTTGCTGGGCAAATTGAGTTTGCTGTTCTTGTAATTGCTTTATTAATTGTTTAACTTCTTTTTCTAATCCTTTAGCTATTTGAACCATCTGATGTTCTAATTCGTTTTGTCGTAATTCTGATCGGTTGGAGATGACTTCAGCTTGGCGAATAAATTCCATAACTTGATTAGCTTCTGTTGTCATCCAACGCTTAATGTGATCAGTTTGATCTTTAGCTTCTTGCCTTATAACAGTATATTTTTCTTCCCATTGGGTGTCTAAATGTTTCAGAGTATCGTCTAAGGAATCTTTCTCGCCTAGCTGTTGGGATAGCTGTTGAATAGTGGTCTTTTTCTCTGTTAAGTTTTGGCGGCAAACATTCATTTCATCTTCTAACTTACTTAGTCGCTGATTTACATGATTTTGATTTGTCGATTGATTCTGTCTTATCGCATCAATTTGTCTACCTTGATTTTCTAATTCATCTTTCAAACGCCTAACTTGACTTTGTAATTCTTCTCTTTGGTCGTGTCCATTGTGAACTTTAGTTCCAATGATATCTAGTTCTTCTTTAATTTGCTGATGACTACGTATGAGATTATCAACTCTAAATGTATCTTTTTGGGTATTTAATTGTAAATTACTTATTTTATGTTGTTGTGTTCGAACAAAATTATTATAATGTTTGACTAAAGGCTCTATAGTATTGCTTAAGCGTTTGACAATAGTAGCAATGGCTTGAATGAAATCTTTTAACCACGTTCTAGCAGATTTGCTATTCTGGTGAGTAGCTTGTATAAGATTTAGCTGATTGACGAGATCTTCTTGAACATCAAGGGCAAAATCAATTAGTTCTGATGTTGTTTTTTCATGTTCTTCTATACGACTATCTAGTGATATTACTGGATTATGATTATAATTATTTGGTAAACTCTGCGATACTAGTGCATCGGCGTTATTAGCAAATACTGGTGGTAATCGATTAGAAGTCGATGCATATAACCGATTTTGTTTATGGCTATTGTTTGCTTTTAGTAGTGATTGTTTCTGTAACAATCGTGCGAATCTATCTCGTTTTTGTTGGCCATGATTATCTTTTAGCTCTGTGAAGGCCATACTTTGATCAGTAGGTAAGCTTAAATTTTTGAAATCTTCGTTTATCAATTCTATCATGAATATAAAAGTGATTGGGAAAAGTAAGTAACTCTGTTGTTCTACATTTAAGCAATAATAATGGATATAAATCAAAAAAATTCAAATAATAAAGTAAAAAATAGATAAGAATTAAATATTACAGCTATTCTATTACTATATAAGTAATCTTTTGTAGTAATTAATGTTATCAAACAAATAAGATGTGCTTCGATCCGCTACATTTATCAGATTAAATTGATTTCATGAAGCATGGCATTAAAAATGACAGCCTAAGTAGATAAAAATATGGCGGTCATGAGTTTCTTACTATTGATCGAATAAAATTGGATTAAACCATATTTAATAATAGTACATTTTTCAAGACTGTCGAACGGTAGTTTATTGCTAGGTAACATTTTGATAAATCATTACCTTAAGGCTTGCATTAATTATGGTTTTATTAAATGAAAAATGAGCGATGATTGTAGATTTTTAGCAGCATTTGAATAAAATAATTACCGTTGTGATTTCATTTGATCGTGTAGTATTTCTTATTCGATTGTAAGTCCAGCAATTTTGATTGTGGTCAATGTAGGATATATGCTTATATTAATTTTTTAGGGGGTAGTTTTTTACTATCAAATTACGATTTGGACACTTGAATATACTATTTAGGCAAAATTGCATTGCAAGAAAAGTCGAAATAGTCCAGTGAGATTGATGGATCATGAAGCCTACTACAGTAGCATTAGGCTCAATAATGATAATAAATGGCAAGGTTGTTTAGATTAAGCCTATCAACTGGAAGTTGTAGACTACTGTAAACTATCCCGGCATGAATTTTTACTGTATCATGATATGACTCAAGAGGCGTATCAGTAATACGTAATAAAGTAGCTGTCGATCAACTTCTATGTATATATAGTGTATATGCCACCTACAGATTTGGCACAAGTGGATTCTATGAAGTGAATGTACAGTGAGATTTTGGATAAATTAGTCGCCAGTGTTACTATGGCAACAAGGCCTCTACTACTTTTTACGGACGCTGTATCGTATTTGTTATGTATATCACTATCTAGAGTTAATGTAAGACTTACTACTGTATTAAAAGCATTTGAAGATTAGCTCTACTCTCAATTAGCATCTATTATAATAGTAAATATATCGCATTAGGTACACGATTGAATAAATAACATCAGACCGGCTAAATTTCCTAGATGCAAGTATGGCTACTAGAAAAAGAGCGAGTCAATTTCTGTGATCTATTCGGCACCCCTGGTGTAGTGTGCGTACACTCGTACCGTACTCTACAGTAGTAAGTAGCGTCGTCCAGAAGGGTCCGGAACATACAGTACAGTACAGTACAGTACCACTAACCCTAGTACTGTACATAATTTAGATAGTACTGTAGGGTCCTGTCACCCATGTGGACAAACTTATGAGCACTATACTGTACAGTGTGCAGTAGAGCCGCAATTTAGTAGTCCATTCGCAAAATACTGTACTGTACTGTACAGTGCGCAATCAGGTTGACCATAATTGGCAAAAGCAGTCCGATAACGCCGATCACTTCTCTAGTGGCAAAACAGTAAACTGAACAGTACTATACTATACTGTATAGTAAAGCTTATACTACACTTACTATACATTCTGTGAGATATGCTGTAGTATCCTTCTACCGTCCTAAATCGAATGACGATAATATGTTGTGAATTATTTTTCATTCACATTAAAGTAATGACTAATATTGTAAGTCTTGCATTAGTAGTCAAAGCAGTCCGATAACGTCAATCACTTCTCTATCGGCAATACATTATACTGTACACTGTACAGTACTGTATAGTAAAGCTTATACTACAGTACTTACTGTACCTGCTGTACTGGAACTGTGAGATACTGTACAGTATACTGTACAGTACTGTACTGTACTGTACAGCGTACAGTAGTATCCTTCTACTGTCCGAAATCGAATGGCGATAACGTTTCACTATGTTGTGAATTATTTTTCGTTCATATTAGAGTAATGACTCATATTGTAAGCCTTGCATTAGTAGTCACAGCATTTAGCACCTGTTGTAGTACACTCAATGAGCATGGTATCGTCGATAGACTAAGGACCAATGACACTTTAGAGCATACTTTGGGGGTACTTAAGTACTTTAGAGTGAGTCTTTTATTCCATTGGGGTTGAAAAATTCTCAACGACTTACAGTACAGTACAGTACGACTGTAAAATGAGTGGACTGTAGTAAGTCGTTTACTACCACAAGAAGGCAATAGGGGCTAGACCTGAATTTTACTGTACTGTACACTGTACACTGTACAGCATACCGTCCACGTCCTTTGTGGTACAGTACTGTACGGTGTGAAATGAGCCAATGAACCTTAAGCAAATGGGGACCCACAATTTGAAATGCAGTCCAATACGGTACTGTAAGAACACGTAATTAGTACAGCTGGAAGTCCCATAGTGGACATACGTTCAGACTTCATACCGAGATTCAAAATTTTTAAAATAATATTTACACGATCGCTATTTTTTTTTCCAGTTTCTACAGCACAAATTAGAGGATGGCGCAAATCGGTAGGGGTGAAGTACAAATGAGGCTACGGGAAAAAGACGTCCTTGATCCAGCATTAACGCGACGGGAAATCTCAGGTTGACTGACATATTGATCATTTGGATTCCACTGTAATCCAGGCCTATCTCGACGTGTGACCTCCATCCAAATATCACATTGTACTGTAGTGCCTTTTTTTTTTTTTTTCCTCTTGGCTTATTTCAGTCAAATGAATTTAGAATTGAGGATATTGACTGCCCACCAATTCTGAATGATAATGATATGCAAATGGTGGAGACATCTTTTACGCTATCTCTCCATCAGTTTATTCCTATTTATACTACTATGGGAGATACGCCTTCAACTGATCTTCTACTTACATCTTGATTTTTTTCTTGTACAGTACAGTATAGTAAAATGCAGTCCATCTCCTAGACTTGATAACGTGCAATACTGTACTCTGGACAGCATTGCATCGGACATTGCAGTCGTAGTTGCTTTTTTTTTTTTCCACTATCATGATGAGTATGGCTGTCATTTTATTGTAGTGTTATAAAGTGGTCTAATTAAATTGAATATAGACATCATTTGACTGGATTACAAGTCTAGCATTAGCTTACTATAGGTCTGAATTGTCCAACATTTTCTTCTTTTGTCATTGAAAAACCATCCTTTAAATGAGGTATTGTAAACGTTGATTACACCCATTACTAACACTTATTTTTGATTAATTACGATAGGCTTACGTTCTCGTGTCCAAGCAGCAGAAATTATGGATGAAGAACGGCAAAAACTCATTGCTTACCAGTACCTTTGTCGCTTAGCAGAAGCGAAAGAGTAAGTAAATCTGTACTATACCATCATTCTTTGTCATCCATGGGAATAGTCGGCAATGTAATTAGGCTGACTGCTGTCATCATAATTGCTACGCTGCCAATTGCTTATTCGAGTATGGATAGGCTGTACAACATTGGTATTGCGTCGAAAATCGACACTGTTGCATGTTTTAAATCATTGTAGGATAATTTTGTGATGAGTAGTTTTTTTAAACTGAATCAAAACAGAATTACACTTATCATCTGCTATATGTACTGTAATACTGCAACAGTGTAGTCCACAAAGTAGCTTTTGATAAAAAAGGCTTTATAGTCAAACACTAGAATGAAGTACTTTCGTCCGATATAGAGTACGCATACGAGCTACGCTGTCACCAATCAAACCCATTATACTCTCCTACTCGTATACATAAAGTAGCTGCAATGCGGTTGCGATAGTGGCAGTTTGAAATAAATACAACTTTCCTATGTACCATGATCTAAAGTTGAAGAATACTGTAAAAGTGGGATTACAATCGATCGTGGCAGTAAAGTACTGGTACATAGAATATATTTTACAGCATACCAAACACAAAGGTATATTGCTGTATGAATACATCGAATGATTCTATTTATATTTGCCGTATTATTACAGCTGGATTGAGCGATGTATTAGTGAAAACATTCCGGTATCAATTAGCGAGTTTGAGAATACTCTACGAAATGGCATATTGTTGGCAAAGCTTAGCCACTCGTTTGCTACTGATGTGGTCCCGCTGAAGAGGATCTACGATGTAGATGAAGCAAAATATAAAGTAAGCAATCTTGCATGATATTTGTTGACTTATTAACCTAAAGTTCAAGTTATATTATTGATTCGCAATCTGTTTCGAAAAGTGTAAAGGTTTACTGCTTTCCTTGAACGACTTATGATAGTACCTTAATCTTTTCTGGCATTCTAGTAGTCCTTGATCTTGCATATGTATGCTGATCGAGTAGTCATACGATGCATGTATATAATACAGTTGACTTTTTTTAATGACTGTGTTAGATTGCCATGATTGTATTATAATTTGTGATAATTGATTGAATAGTGCAAGAAATTAACGTAGCGAACTTTTAATGTACCATCGTTAACTATATTTATACTGATATTAGGTTAAAGGATTACATTTTAAGCATACGCAAAACTTTAATTACTGGATCGAAGCATTGGACAGTATCAAATTTCCTAAGGTACAGTTAAGATATTCCAGTATAGAATTTACATTAATCTTTAGTCTAGTCGTAATAATTTCTCGTCAATAATAGCCTACACGTTTAAAGTTTGCTAACATGGAGGCATGACCATTGATTAAGTTAAAAATAGGATAGGACAGTTTAGTGTAAATTTATAATTAGTAGACGTCTTAAGGCTATAATTGATGGTGTAGTGTGGTTTTGTATTAAAAGAAAAAGATATAGAAACCAATTTTATGATCTCTATCAACTTGTAGGAATTATTTAAATCACATATATTTCTTATCAAGAGTTGGATCATATTATCGCTCGCTATTTGTACTATATAACTTATTATATCGATTAATCCCTTGTAAATTAATGCTCTTACGATTAAAGCTTGGATTTTCTTCGATATAACTAATGTATCACATACAATATGCCACGTACAATATGATCAGTTACTATACCATTTAAGAACGAATGTTTCTATTTTGAAAATGGATTGATGAAGATTGTGATCGGCAAAAAAATATAGCGGATCGAAATCTTAATACCGAGGACATTTTTACATGATATGTCATAGATGGTATTGGTAGATTACGGTACTATACTTTCTCTCATTAGTTTAGGTGAAATTATCACAATGGTGTGAGAATTAAATATCTGTGCGCTGGGCTATATGGAGATGTTATTTTAGTTCCCGTTATACCATGATTAATACGCATAGATGCAGTTGAAATGTATTTCGTCTGTAGCTACTGTTGTAACGTTGAGTAACTTTGATCATTACAGATTTTTCATCCTGAAACTGTCGACTTATACGATCAGAAAAATATGCCCAAAGTAATCTACTGCATTCATGCCGTTGCGTAAGTTGTTCGTCAAATATTATTCTATTTAGCTTAACAAGATCGTTTATTATATCAATTCTTGGATCTTTAAAGATTACTTACCATGTTCAATGATTAGATTATACTGTTACAAGCTTGGTAAATCACCTGCTATTACTAGCCTTAGTGGTAAAGTTACTTTTACAGGTATGCATTCTTTTCAATTTGTAAAATATTTTAAAAGTTACAGAATGGAATCAAATATTAAGTATAGAAAGATAAGTAGTGCTGATATCGGTTATTCTACGTTAAATTGCGATTCATGTATGTCTGTGTGAGTAACTTTCATTGTACAAGGAAGCAACAAACTTTAATTCTCTTTATTACGTAAACTAGATGAAGAAATTTTAGAAAAGAGCGTTGAACTAAAAAGCCGTGGTGTGAAGATTCCGATGTTCAATCGTATTGGCGGGATTTTAACAAAAGAGGTATACCTATCTAGATTATAGCTATCCGTAAAGGATGTACGAGTATTAAATTTTTTCTCTTATTATTATCGCTAGCAATTTATTCAATATCATTATCCTATTCGACTATTTTATTTCTAGATAAAAGTAGACGATGAAACTTGTAAGGAGATAGCATTTTCATTTCCTATCAGAGCTGTCAACGTTATAACATTATAGAAGACATTGTAATAATTATAAACTGTTTAGTTTTCAAGGCAATTGTAGCAGTAAATCGCGCAATAGATGATGAAGACGCGCCACAAACTGTAGTTGCAATGAATCATATCGCTGCAAGATTGGTTGACATAGATCCAGATTATGCTGATTACTATCAAAAAAAATTATTTACGGCTAAAAATATCAAAGTATCAGAAGCGGCTACAGATGAAATGGAAGATAATACAGAGGTTAGCTAGTGTTTTAGTTTTTGTTGTTCATACATAGATTTGATACTGTTATTGATATATCTTTATTCTCCATATGTAGCTTACTGAAGAAGATTATTATAAGACAAATCTAAAGCATGACCAGATTCAGAGTATTGTCAGTGAAGTTAACGAAGAAAGAAAAGATTTCGAAAGTAAGTTTATAGCGCAAAAATTTATAGTATTAATGGTCAGTGAATGGTTAAATTTTTTTTCTGTTGTATTTATTACAATCAAGTGAATATGGCATTGCAAGCAGTTATCGACTCCATCGAAGATGGAGATTTGTTAAGGGCTCTTAAAAATCCGCTTCTACTGTTTTCGGGAGTTGATTCCTCAATCATACATATATACAGAAATCATCTTATGACTCTGAAGGCAAAGGTATGTCTTTTAAGTAGTATTAATTTTAGTTGATATAGTGTAACTATCAGCCATTATTAATTAAATGTCAGGAAGAAATTGTTTAATTATATTTTAATGTTACTATTCTAGCGTAATCAGGAAGATGCACAGATCACTTACGATGACATTCAACTTACAATTAAGAATGCTAATGCAGAGATAAAGAAAATGAATTACCAACAGTCTATTTTGCAGATTCTTAACAACTTACTTGACAGTAATCCTGTAAATTGTGCAAAATTAAAGGAATGCCTGGAAAATGAATATTTCGAATTTAGCAATCTTAATCCTGCATTCATTGAACAGTATAGTATTGTAATGAGGCGTGGTCGTTTAGAAAAAGTTGTCATAAATGGCTATGGGGAAGAAGGTTTGTTAACATCTGACGAAATACAGAGTTTAATTAATCAGGCTAATCTTTTGCGCGAATTAAACGATGCTCTGGATCGAGAGCCAACCGATAATCAAAAATTGGAAGAATGTCTAGGATCGGACATACTTGGATTGCGTGACGTGGATTTCGTATGGCTGGAAGTTTATTCGATCTGCTTGAAAAACAGAAGAATGGAGAAGTTAAAAATTTATGGTAACGGTAATAAAAGTCTTTTATACCTGGATGAACTTCAACGTCTGATATTGCAGACTAACTGGTTGATCATCTTAAATGAGGCTCTGGATAAGAATCCTTCTGATGAAAAGAAGATTAATGAGTGTTTATTGTCTGAATATATAGATGTAGATGATGTTAACTCTGATAATATAATGCAATACATTACGATGCTTAAGTTACGTAAGAAAGAAAAATCGGCTACTAGCAATGATTTTAAAGAAGTAATGTTGACTGTTAAAGACATTCAGGTTATTATTTCTCGTGAAAATGCGCTCTTGACTTTGGATCGAGCGTTGCAAGCAGAACCGATTGAAATTGCGAAGCTGAGAGAGTCTTTAAGATCGAAGGTGTTAAATTTTGCAAATTTACGTATGGAGATATCCTCAATGTATGCTGCTTCGTTGAAGGAGGGACGTGATAAAAAAGGCGTAATTAGTGACGACATTCTTCGTGAGAATGAGATACAGTGTTGTATTGATGAAGTGAATGCATTAATTGCTTTAAATGAGTGTATCATTGAAGATCCCGTTAATATGGAGAAATTGAAAGGGTATCTATGTGATGATGTGCTTAATTTATCGGATGTAAACGTGGAAAATTTATTTTTATACGCACCCTCATTAACAACGAAGAGAAAACAAAAAATGAAGGATTATATTGATCCCATTAAAAATCTTTTAAGTAAAAGCGAGGTGAATCTAGTTATTCATTTTTCAAATATCATTGTTGCTATCAACGAGGGTTTAGAAAACTATCCTTCCAACAAAGAACAGTTTAGTAGCTGGATACTAGATGAAACATTAGCGTTCGATGGATCACAGTCTCATCTGGTTACGCTGTACGTCGAAATATTAAAAAGAACGCAAAAGGAGAGATTAGGTAGTGATGAAAGTTTCTTGAATTATTTGGATATCCAGAACTGTATTACTCTTGGGAATGAAATTCACGATGCAAATGTCGCGCTAATTAAATGTGTTGCCAAAGTTAATGCAACAGTCGAAGCGGAAGACCATGAAGCTGTATTATTGGCTTTGCAGAGTGAAATTCTGTCGTTAAAGGAAGTAAATCCGGAACAAAGCACTGGCTATTTGACATCGCTGAAGGCGGCCAAAGACGAGAAAATTTCCGATTGTCAAAATGGTTGGGTCAAGCACGAGATCGAAATTGGCGGTCACATATATTATAACTTATCTACTGAAGATTTTATGTATGATGCTCCTGAAGGTTACGTATCAAATGGAAGGTTTCTGACTAAAATTGAAATTGAGGTCAGCGCTTCTATAATTAATTTTTAGAGAATTTACTGCAGTATTATAATTGTAAATTTTTATTCTCATTTCAGCAAGCACTTATAGCTGAAAATGAGCGCTACAACTTATACGACAGGCAACTACCGCAAATTATTGCTATTCAAGTAAGATCTATAGTGGCTTCTATTCCGGTATTGAAGGTGATTGAAACAGGTCTCTTCTAATTTACTTAGGCTCTTGCACGTGGCTATCTTGCCCGGAAAGTTATCAAAGAAAGAAACTATGAGCTAAAATGCTTGCTACCGGCTGTAATTCAGGTATACTTTGAAGAAAACGTCTTACTGTACTTAATTACATAGATTTAGTAATATAGATCGTATTTAGAAATTTACATCAGCTAAATATCTCTTTCTTACTTTTAATAGATTCAGGCTGCTTGTAGGGGATATCAACAAAGACGCGCCTATTTAAATAGACTAAAGTATTATGCAATAAATGTAAGTATTGTTTATATAATATAAAAATGTTAGCCTTTGACTTTTTAAAATTTTGATAAAAATTACTATTGACTTCTAGGAAAAGGCAATCATAAAAATGCAAAGCGTATTTAGATGCTTAAAAGTTCGGAAATACTATGAAGGACTAAGTAAATTTTATTTTGTTATAATTAAAATTTTAAAAAGTTTAGGAATATATAATATCATCTTACTTATCGACATTGCTATTTTTTTATGACACATTGCTAGAATCACTCGATGTCCCGTTTGCAGCAATTAGCATGTTCGTTTACTTACTTGACGAAACTCAGAAAGATTTTAACGAGGAGCTTGGTACGTTATTAAATTATGATGAGATTAAATTTTGTGATACTATGCAATAATACCGCTTATATTCTGTAATCTGTATTAGAATTACAAAAATTGAGGTCTCACATTGTGACAAGTATTCGAGCCAACTTGAAGCTAGAAAAAGACTTAAGTTCAATGGATGTGAAGATCGGTTTACTTGTCAAGAATCGAATCACATTGCAGGTATAATCACTAGAGTTGTATTATAGTGAAGCTTTTAAAAGTAACATACGTATGTATATATATCAAAGGAAATCTCTTTTAAATTGAAATTTTGTAGATGATCAGTAATTATACAAACGATTTTATTACAGGACGTAGTCCATCAAAATAGAGCACTTAAGAAAATTAATAAAGATGTTACAAATGTGAATGGGATCGATGTATTGATAAAGGAGAGAACGCACCAATTAGAGGTAGCACAATTATCTGATCAAGTCATTACATTGTATTTCATTAATTAATTATACAAGTATTACTGTACTAACAGACAATTTATCATTTCGTTAAGGGATATCAAAGTTTGTTTTATCTATTGCAAACTGAGCCGAAATATCTAGCAAAGTTAATATTTGAAATGCCTCAGAGTCGTAGCAATAGATTCGTCGAAACAGCCATCTTAACCATATTTAATTACGCTGCAAATACCCGAGAAGAATTCTTACTTATTAAATTGTTTAACACGTCCTTACAAGAAGAAGTATTGTAAGCACAATTACTTCTATATAATTGTGATAAAGAATGATATCATAATAACCTTGGCTATTATTTCTTATAGGAATCGTGTTAATTCAATTGAAGATATTGTTGAAAATAATCCTTTAGTTGTTAAGTTGGCCGTCCAGTTTAATAGGTTGATTTTGTGAATAATTAATATATTAAAACTAATTTTATGACCATTCTTATAGTCCTAATGCATATGAATTTATCAAGTAACTGATTATTATGTTAGAGGAAATCGAAGCCAGAATTGCCTAAAAGAAATTTTTGGCTCCGTAATTCAGCCTGTCATTAACAGCAAGGATAGTTATGATCTAGACCCAATGAATATTTACAAGGCCTGGCTTCACCATTTAGAGTCAATTTCGGGAGAAGCTAGGTATTATACTTTATACTTTAGCAATCCCCATATCTTTTATTTTGTAACATGGTTAGTGATCATTCTATTTTAGTCAATTGCCTCATAATATTAATACGGAACAAGCACTTAAGTATCCTGAAGTTAAAAAGAAACTTGCAGAATGTATTAACAAATTAAAAGCCTTAATTGCCGATATTGTAGGAGCAATTGTACCTGCAGCCGCAAAGCTACCGTAAGAAATTATTTTATCAGATTGTACATTACCATCTGGTCTTTTAACGCGCTGTGATGAAGTTATACTGTTCTAATCTTTGATTTATGCAATGTTTTCTACATTCCGACTTGCGATTGTAATCGATAATTTTAGATATGCGTTGCGCTGTGTTGCAATGACTCTCAGGAAATGTCTAGAAAAGAAATTTCCAAACGATAAAGACATTGCCTTAAAAGTTAGCATCTTGGGATAGATCTTTTAATTCCAATGCTTTACAGATAAATACTTAAAAGTAAATACGTAACTGTTTAATTATAGGCTGTAGGACATTTCATAATATGTCGTTATATGCATCCTGCTTTAATTGCTCCTGATGCTTTTGACGTTATTCCATTCAATGTGGAAAACCCTTTAACTACTCATCAAGTAGGTTTATACCTGTTCATGGTACTGTTATTATTAAATTGTTATAGCTTTTACTCGTTTACTTAAATTATTGTACTTTCAGAGACATTGTCTTGCTTCTGTTGCAAGTCTTTTACAACGAGCAGCAATAAATAATACGGTAGGCACTTTTATATCTGCTATTATGGCTGTGTACAACAGTTGGATTAAATAATTATTGATCTTTTTACTATGGCGTAAAAAAGTTTGGTAACGAGAGTCCATACTTAAGTTCAATAGATGATACTATATCAGAATCATTTGCGAAACTACGGTAAGTGTTTTTAGATTTTGTTCTTAAAGTTTAAATTGCCTTTAGTACCGTAGCAATCGTACTTATGACAACTATAAATATAGTATCATGCCTCTGTCTTTATTAGAACATTTTTGTGCGAAGCATCGACTGTGGAAGAGCCAGGGGAACGCTTTCAATTAGATCAATACAGTGAATATGCAATGCTTAGAAAACCAACTATTTACATTTCTATCAGAGAGATTTGTAACATTCATAAGGTTGTGATACAGATGCCGAATTACCTCATTCTAGTATGTAATAAGTTTTGAAAAAGATTAATTCCGATTGTTACAGTTGGTAGCCGACTTTGAAAATGAAATTGCACCAAACACCGATGATCCACTTCGTGAAGTTTTATCTGACCTAGGCTCACCTTTATCTGAATCTGAGTTAATCGGTTAGTCGTCAATGATTTATCTTGTTGTTAATGTATTGAGTTACCAAATGAGTTCTTTCATAGATGTGCCATCGGATACAAATGATCCAATTGCTATTGATGCTGTTAGAGAAGATTTGGCCAAGACTGAAGTTTGCTTGACATTAACTAATAGATTTGATATTAAAGGGGATAATAGGACGTCCGATGTATCATCCCTATTTAACGGGTTAGTTAGATAAAACAATGCTAAAAGATAATGAATTATAGATGGCTATTTATTATTTATTATAAATGATGATATATCCATGTTGGCTATAGGACTAAAAATTTAACAGCGGACGTGATCCGCGTTCAACGAGGATCAACCCTGGCTAGTATACTGGATACACCTTCGTCGAAGGAAGAAGTTAGATACAAGAATAGATTTTTATTTATTCTTTTAAATTATTATGAAAATAATATATCCATACGTTAACAATTTCAGTCTGAGAAATATAAAGCCATCATCAGCAATCGAGCTAGTAAGATTGCTTTAATCAGCCAGGTAACACAAAGTCAAGTGAAAGGCACGCAAAAGAAAGAACCAGGACCTGAAAAACAGTACGTCCTGTTTTGTTTATATATCTGTGATTCTTTAAACATATAATTTGAAGCAGTTTATTACAGTATAATGATCGTTATTGTATTATGACTTGCTTTATTCGTAAATTCTATTTTATTGATTTTTTAGTGCGTCACTGGAGAAAGTTAAGATTAGAATTAAAGAAGGTTTGCAAGTACTTGAAGAAAAAGGTCTTACCTCTTCTAAGAATGGATACGGATCTGTATTAAGGGAAATTGCAAAGGTAGTACGGGAGCTTAGATTAATTTGAACGGAATACAATTATCATCATGCACCAATAAGAAAAATGGGTCATCATCTTTTTATCCAGGATATACTTAATAGACGGTTATATCGAAAAAATCGTAAGATTGAAATATTAAGACTGCGTGAGGCTCAGGTAGTCTTGGATGACAAGATCAAAGATTATGTTGAACAAATGGATTATTATAATAAGTATATTAAGACTTGCATCGAAAATATGGCCTTGTCTAGTAAAAAGTTAGTAAATATTTTAACTAGAAGCTACTTACGCTATTAATTCAATTTTTAATGGGCATATTTTTTTTCGTCTTTTATCAGGAAAAAGGATAAAAAATCTTCTGCCTTAAAGTATACCGCAGCACGATTGCACGAAAAAAATATAGTTTTATCGATCGCCGGTTTACAATCACACCAGTGAGTACATGATGAGATTTTCTATCAAAACACAAATATACTCAAAGGTAAATTGTTGTTTGTAGATATAAAAATGTAACGATTGAGATTGCATCTACTGACGATTCATCGAAGTTTAAAATCCATGCCAAGATCATTGGAACAACAATGGATTCGATTTTGCTTGATTTTGAGGTATGACCTAAGACGTCAGTTCCGATATCTTGATAATATAACGTGTAAGTTACTCGGAAAGTAGAAGCTAACCATTGTCTTTATTGGTTATTTATTTTATATTTACAGCATTTGCTAGAACTGCAATATGAAGGTATTCCCTCAATTAAAGTATTTAATGCTGTTATGTTTGATGTAAACTCTTTAATCGGTCTCTTAAATAGAAAATTTTATGGTAAAGATTAGTATTTTTTCGTATCGGTACTGGTGTGCTTATTGAACTTGTACGTTACTTTATAAAATTTTAATTGGTAGACATTTTATTTTCTGCCTCTGAATTACTGATTACGCTAATTTCGTTATGCCCACCAATCTAAAATTGCAAGCGATAAAGTATTTAAATGAGATTACTTAGTTTCCTTAGTGAAATAATTTTAATAAATTTAGATCGTGCATTTTCTGATATCACCGTTATGCGCAAAAGTTTGCCTTCATTTAATTGGATTCATTTATACTCAATATTCAGTTATAAATCAATCTTTGATTGATAATAACTATTATCACATTTAGCCAAAGTTTTATTGCAGATTTTTTGCACCTTATTTATTTACATTTATTCTTAATGTGATCAATGGGTTTTTCTGTAGAGGTCACAAAATATTTTCAATTAAATAATATGATTGCGTGATGAATAAAAGAAAGGTAGAACACTACTCTCATTGATGTTGTAAAGTATAAATTTGCAGTATAATCATGTGCGTATATGCACGCATACTGTAGTTAGTGGGAATCCCAATTTTCCAAGGTAGGTAGCTGTATAAAAGTATGCCCGTGATAAAGTCTTCCAAATGAATAGTGCGACAAGAGCTCTGGTTTCTTATTGATTAAATTTAACTTTTGTTATATAAATCTATCAATAGACATGCACAATTTTACTTCTATCTACTATCTAGATATCAGTATGATCTATCTAGGAGACTGCACTAACTTGCCTATATTCGAAGTGCAGCCTATTATTGTAATCCATGAAATAATCACCCTTGTGGTATTCAATCTATGGCATATAGAATCACATCAATTAGATTATCACAGATTTGCAGAATTGGAATACGGAATGTCAGGCATGCATTTTATAAGTTAGCGTTTACTATAAAAATGTCAGACTAGACAATTTTGCAAATCGTATACTGTACAATATCCAGGAAAATGTCCTTCCTGTATATGGTAAAAAGTGGTTGTCCATGCTAGCAGCCGAGTCATTTCGCACCTTTTACCGTCCAAGTGTTTTTTAATACGATAACGAAACTACTGTGTGATACATTAGATTATGATAGATAATTATGGATTTTTTCTGAAAGGCTGAGGCGTTTTCTTTCTGCAGTATACAGCAGTACTGTACAGTATAGTACAGTGCAATATGCGTATATTGACTGCATCCTTCAACAAACGTTTGCCGGTGTTGATGATGCAATTGTACATGAGGTATCTAGTCGTTGCTGCTCTCAGAAAGGAAGCGAATACACAGTATGATGTCCTGTTTTAACTGTTGAGTCGTACACACTAAGTAGGTAGCAAAGTATCGTCGATGGCGACATTATTATGGTGCGAAATGAGAGTGATTGGTCAGGTATATGAGCATACTTATTGTAATTACTCACTGTCATCCATGTGTCTTACAGTATACGCCTACCTATTGCTGGATTGTACTACACAGACTGCTAAGAAAAAGTGGATAGTAAACAAAAGTGACAAGAGAATTGGCATGAAAAATTACGTCGGCAAAGTACTATAGCATTTCACTGCATGTGCGCTAAAAAATGATTCCATTTCAATGTCGGTAGTGTACTACATGTCCGCGTGGACTCTGTGGTGCAATGTAAAATGTAAACAAATAAAAACAACAATAATAATAATCTGAATGCTGTGCCACTGGATTCATTTTATCAACAGGGAAGCAGGCAGAAAATGGTTTACCATGAACTAAAAGGGGAAAATGAATGGTAAAACACTGTAGTCAATAACATTGGAAACGCCGAAAATGTTCATTGATGACGAATTGTGATTTCTGAGTTCCTTAAATCTACCGTTTGTACTGACTGTAAAATCAATCAATCCCCCCAAAAGAGTAAAAGCAGTTTTTGACCTAGTCCCACAGTACTACACAACGGCCTGCGTTACCATTGTGCCTACTGTACAGTGTACAGTATGTTGCGCAATGTGCATTTTACATACTGTACACTGTACAGTACTGTACGTACTTGCCACTCACGGACTACTAGAATGTCCTCTTCCAAGTAGTTGGAACACTTGGAGTACAGTGTACAGTACAACGGCACAGACTGTAGCCAGTGTACTGTACATTGTAAGTAGAAAGAGACCCGTACAGTGTACAGTACGCTGGTACAATGCAATACTGTACTGTAGTGTAGTCGCTACTCACCAAAGGAATGAAGAAAAATCACTTTGAGCGATGGCACTCGCTCACGCTTGACGTGCTGTGCTGTTCTACATTGAAGGCACGGTCATATTGTAGCAACCAAGTCAAATAATCGAGGTTTAAATGAGATATGTGAGGTCTTACTTGTTTTGCCTGCAGGTCAAATTTGACAAAAATTACCTGTAGACTGTAGTGTAAATAGTGTACTGTACAGTACAGTATTTTACAGTCAAGTACAGTACTGTACTGTACACTGTAAAGTACAGCGTACTGTACTGTGTACAGTAGACTTCTGCATACAGTACACAGATCTTTTTTCCCTTCAAGACAATCATCAGGATACTGGTACTTACAGTACTTTTCACTGTACAGCACTGTACCACGCCGTACTGTAGGTAGACCTGATCATGACGATCTCCAAGTGGACGATTACAGCGTGGTACTGTATAGGCCAACTGTAGTGTACAGTACCGTGTAGTGTACAGTACCGTGTATTCCGCTGACAGATATCCCACCTCAAATACGGTTGTGGACAAAAAAAGCATCTCCAAAATAAAATGGCGAATAACCGTAGATTTGTTGACAGAATTGCCTTTCACCAGACACGACAGGCCGAAGAAACGGCTGAATTTGAACAAGTGATGCGCGAAGTTAAGACTACCAAAGATACCGCTACAAGGGTACGATTTCAATTACTTTATCTACTATCACCAAAGGGTTCTTTTTTCCTATTTCTTTTCTATTTTTTGCGGGGGGGAAATAATGCTACAACAACTTCATCAGTGGGTTAGCATACTGTATCAACGTGGTGGTACAGTACTACTCTAGCGACTGGTGTATTTACAGTACACAACGGAGTAAAAGGCGATCACGCATCTCCGTGATATTTCATGATCGAGCGTTATTTTTACAGTATAGTATTAAAATATCAGCCAGTTCTTCATCGTCGATGACTGCATCATGTTAGAATAAGATCACTTTCTTTCTGGTAGATTGCCACAAGCTCTTGTCTCAAGTATTACTTTGAAGGGGATTTTGATTATCTTGATGCCTTCTTTCTACTTGTGCTTGCGGTAGCAATCGTTTTCGTTTGGTCCTTTCTATGGGTTGTTAATGTCAACCTTAAGTGATTATCAATCTTTTCCAAAGTAGATGTACAAATTGTGTTATTTTTACCTTACACAATATATCAAGTTGAGTTACCGTTGATGTTACAGCGAGCAAAGTTGGATATTACGTGTACAATTATCCTTTCTATGGGCTATGAATTATAGTTTGTACCCGCAGACGTTATTTTAAAAATTTTCCATCAGCATAAGACAAGTAGGAACTCACCATTACTCTAGTAGGTAATCCACTTTTCATACGATAACTGCTTGCTTGTACAGTTAGCGCATTCTAATATCCACTTTTTGTCAGCACAGTTGAACGTTCAAAGTTTTAGAAGCAGCAGTCATCCCGAATTTCATAATTTTATATAGACTGGACGTATATGGATAGATAGACTTGGTTAGTCGACATCACTAGAGTGGATGCAGCCTAGTAATAATTATACAGATTGAAGTCGAAACGATCTATAAAGGACTGTAATGTACAGTAGTTGACTGGATAGTAAAGTAATAATAATATTGATGATAGCGATAGCGTGCTCCTCGTTATTACTTAGCATTCTTGATCCTAACTCTGTGTAGTACAGTAGTGTTTGTATTGTCTAGTAATGATTTTGAGTCTTATTCCATAGGTGAGGATAATTGTTACGTTTACCATAATCTGCCAACTGCCTAAGTGTTATTAGTGTATCATCGATTCGATTGAAGTTTTATGCGCATTTTAAAATAGATCCAATCCAGCTGCAATGCACCATACTTGTAGATGCGGTATTAGAGGGACTAATATCTACTACCTAATTATTGACTGCATTCTTTTTGAGATTTGAGTTCAAAAGTATTGGTAATCTTAATGAATTGTGCTCTGCATCATATACGGCGTTATTGACGATTGTACAGCACTCTTATATCTTTCCATTATAATTGATAAAGTAATACCTAGTTTAGAGAAATGAACTACAGTCAGTATTGTATTTTACACTCAGATTCAACCGCTATAGTTGGTGTACTGGGGTCAAAAGAAGAAATGGCAAATTGTAGCTGATTTGCTAAAACAGTTTTGGATATTTATAAAAAGTGATTAAAAAGCTCTTATGCTAGAAGAATGTACGTACAATACGAATAGTAGAGAATTACTATTGGAGTGGACATAAGCTAGACTGATCACTATATCCTATCACCTATTTTTTCTACACTTATTGTCATCCTTTATACAGTGTATCTTGCTTCGTACTTGACCTTAGCCGTTGTACATTGATTGAATTTTGTGATCAGGTTGATCGCTAACGAGTGGAATAAGCACTAGACGTTGATCGATTAATTAATTATCATTGCTACGTTGTATCTGCAACACTTCATGATATCCTTGTCCTGTCATAGTACATTGTGAACGAGTTATCCAGTAAGTTTGCGCTCTGTTTGTAAACTTATACCTCTCATAGAAAAGGAATTTGCTATCAACCACATCTCTCGTCTCACTTAATCCTCGATTTATGTAATACTTTGGAAGCCAGTAATATTCTAATGAGATGATACTTAAAGAAGGGAGATGGGTGTCGTCGATTGATGTATTTACTGTATAGAGTATCTTTTGACTTGTTAATCAATCTACGTAAACGTGCAATTTTTATAGGCTATTACTCATCCTTTACAGTACTATACGGTTAAATTGATGCACGATGATAGTAGCATAATCCGAGTAA